GGCTTAGGAAGGGAGAAAATCCCTAAACCCCACCCAAAATAGATCCTGGAAGTTGAGAAATTCCTAAAACTCACCAAAATCAGGGCTGGGAAATCAGAGAATTCCTAAAAAAAAAAAAAAGCTCCCGGAGCAGAACCGCGCTGTGGGGACACCTAAACCCACCAGAAATGGGTGTTGGAGGTCAACTGTGGTGAGAAAATTCCCTAAAAACCACGGGAATTGGGTCTTGGAGGTGAGAGAATTCCTAAAAACCAGAGCAGCTGTGTCTTGGAAGGGAGAGGATTCCTAAAAAACGATTTCTCCGAGTGTGTCCGTGCTGTGGAATTCCCAAAACCCACTGGGACGGGGTCTCTGAAGGTCAACCGTGCTCAGAAATTCCCAAAAAAACGCCCAAATTGGGTCTTGGAAGTGCGGGAATTCCTAGGAAATGTTCTTGGAGTGTGTCCACCTTCTGGAATTCCTAAAAAATTGCCCAAACTGGGTCTCGGGAGGGAGAGAATTCCTAAAAAAAAAATGTCCTTGGAGTGTGCTGATGTTGCTGAATTCCTAAAAACCACCAGGATGGTGCCTTGGGAGTGAGAGAATTCCTAAAGGAATGTCCTTGAAGTGTGTCCATGTGGTGAAATTCCCAAAAAAACCACCGGGATTGGGTCTTGGAAGGTCAACCGTGTTGTGGAATTCCTAAAAACCGCCCAAACTGTGCCTTGGAAGTGCGAGAATTCCTAAAAAAACGGGTCCTTGGAGTGTGACCGTGTCGTGAAAATTCCTAAAAATCGCCAAAATTGGGTCTTGGGATTGAGAGAATTCCTRGGAACAGCTCTTGGAGTGTGTCCATGTGGTGGAATTCCTAAAACCACCCAGCTCGTGTCTTGGAAGTGAGAGAATTCCTACAAAACGCTCTTGGGTTGTGTCCATGTTGTGGAATTCCTAAAATCCGCCCAAATTGTGTCTTGGAAATGAGAGAATTCCTATAAAAATTGCTCTTGGGTTGTGTCCATGTGCTGGAATTCACCAGTTTTGTGTCTTGGAAATGAGAGAATTCCTATAAAAATTGCTGTTGGAGTGTTTCCATGTGCTGGAATTCCTAAAATCCGCCCAAATTGTGTCTTGGAAATGAGAGAATTCCTACAGAAATTGCTCTTGGGTTGTGTCCATGTGCTGGAAATCACCAGTTTTGTGTCTTGGAAATGAGAGAATTCCTATAAAAATTGCTCCTGGAGTGTGTCCATGTTGCTGAATTCCTAAAACCCAGCGGCACTGTGTCTTGGAAATGAGAAGAGAATTCCTATAAAAATGGTTCTTGGAGTGTGTCCATGTGCTGGAAATCCTAAAATCGCCAGCATGGTGTCTTGGAAATGAGAGAATTCCTACAGAAACTGCTCTTGGGTTGTGTCCATGTTGCTGAATTCCTAAAATCCACCCGAACTGTGTCTTGGAAATGAGAGAATTCCTATAAAAATTGTTCTTGGAGTGTGTCCATGTTGCTGAATTCCTAAACCCAGCGGCACTGTGTCTTGGAAATGAGAGAATTCCTATAAAAATTGCTGTTGGAGTGTGTCCATGTTGCTGAATTCCTAAAACCCAGCGGGACTGTGTCTTGGAAGTGAGAGAATTCCTATAGAAATTGTTCTTGGAGTGTGTCCATGTGCTGGAATTCACCAGTTTTGTGTCTTGGAAGTGAGAGAATTCCTATAAAAATTGTTCTTGGAGTGTGTCCATGTGCTGGAATGACAGAATTCCTACAGAAATTGCTGTTGGGTTGTGTCCATGTTGCTGAATTCCTAAACCCAGCGGGATTGTGTCTTGGAAATGAGAGAATTCCTACAGAAATTGCTCTTGGAGTGTGTCCACATGTTCCAATTCGCCAGCATTGTGTCTTGGAAGTGAGAGAATTCCTACAGAAATTGCTGTTGGAGTGTGTCCATGTGCTGGAATTCGCCAGCTTTGTGTCTTGGAAATGAGAGAATTCCTATAGAAATTGCTGTTGGGTTGTGTCCATGTTGCTGAATTCCTAAACCCAGCAGAGAATTCCTACACAAAGCACAAAGCTCTCTCTCGGTGTGTTCCATGTTGCTGAATTCCTAAGGAGCACCGGGTTTGGATCTGTGCCTCGGGAATGACACAATTCCTAAATGTTCTCGGAGCGTGCCGAAGGTGGAGAGCTCCTTTGTGTCCTTTGTGGAGATGAGGACTCAGCCCAGGAACCTCCCGCCGGTTCAGGGCTCTCCGCTCTCCTGGCTCTCCTGCTCGGATGGTGTTGTTTTTGGGATGAGTTTATTTTGGGAACTGGTGGTGGATGGATGTGCCGTGTCCCTCGTCGGGGTGTCCTGGACGTGATTGTTTTCGGGGTTCTGGTGTTTTCTCCGTGATTTTGGGGTTGTTTTTGGCCCCCCCCGTGTGGTGTGAGGGATGTGCAGGAGGAGGAGGAGG